ACCATGTAAGTTATCAAATCTTCCAATATGTTACAGATCGAAACGTTTTGTAGTAAAACAATAAACTTACTGCTAGAAATATATGGGTTATTGGAATCATACACATTTAATTGGCGAAAAAAATCGCTATAATTTTTATCTGATAGCTAAACACATTGAAAAAGACAAAACTTTCAAGTTGTCATATCTGTAGTAGCTCCTACATATATTTTGACAGGATATTATTGAACATGAAACTACGGTATTGATAACGCCCGACTTACAAAAATAAACTGACCCACACATATGCCACACTCTTATGCACGCACGTTATTTTACTGTAATGTTTACTTCGTTTGTCGTCATTCAAGAAATTTTCCACAGTCTGAAGAGATTATGCAACCCAATTTTTCCAAATCCATACCGTATATTAGTTTGCGACCCATTGGTTGGGTCTTGTGGTCAAATGATAATAATGACGATAATAATAATAATAATAATAATAATAATAATAATAATAATAATAATAACAATATATTTAATATTAGTGATAAAATTGATGATAAAAACGATAATAAAATTAGTAATAATAATATTAATAACTATTTATTTAATATTGTTTGAAAGAGGTTTGCATAGTGAAGTAATATAGGCCTGATTTTTTAATGCTTGCAGTACACCACGTAAATAGTTCTGAAAAGAACTGTTTGTTGAGAATGTCTCAACGTTTCGATTAAGTTGCTTCAATCGTCTTCAGGAGAATAATATCTACAGAGAATCCAAACAGGGAAATACTTATGTTTTGATAGTGAAACTTGCTGCTGATGAGTGGCGAACTAAAAAATAAATGAGAATGTAAAAGGCTAATACAGACGCCAGTATTCACAGTCTGTACATGAGGGTGACAATGACAATGACAACAATATTTATTTCCTTTGAGCATGAAAGTTTACGAAAAATGTAAATGTACAACATTTTTAAAGATCAAAGCAAATGGGAAATTCCTGAAGCATAGCTTGTAAATGGAAATACCAAATTACATAATTAAATATTTCTTTTACATATAAGGTTAAAAAATAATTCAAAGGCCTATTTTACTTAAATTAAAGAAGTTTAAAATTGAATAGAAAAATTCTATTTCTTTTCTGTAAATTATATTTTGTATTCATTAATAACAACATCTTAATTACTTTCTGCCTAGAGCTTTCCAAAACTCTAGGCAGCCTATAATGGCAGCCGAGTTGAAAAAAAGCTTGAGTCCTGGATTTCTGATGTAAAAAACACAAGCGACTTGTGTGTCCTGTGTGTGGATTGAAATAATTAGAAACCATACTGCAGTCCAAGATGCCCACCAACACTTTAAAACTAAAAATAACAAAAGGTTTATCCCTTCTCACAGATAAGAACGACAAAGGCAATCATCTTAATCTCTCCTCGAAACTCATTTGGCCCTGATGTTGTTGGAGAGCAAGTTTACTTTTATGGACCCCTTCAAGCTGATTGAACAGAGTTTTGGTCCATGGAAACCAAGCAGATTGTGCATATTCCATGCCTGGTAAAACAAGACACTTATAAAGAGAAATAAAAGAATCTGTGGAGGCAAAACTAGCCACACTCCAAATAAAACCGAGCATATACACTTAGGCTTAGAGACAACAATATGGACATGGTCATCAAGTGTTAATTTGGAATTTTTTAAATAAATATTACAGCCGGACATAGAGTATGAAAATATTTGCTTATTGCGTGATCTAGTGATATGAAGAGCATTTGTCTTAGAGGTGTTAAAAGGCATGCAGTTTGCCTTTTCAGCCAGATCAGCTTGAAGTGTGAGTTGAGTCTCGAGGAGAGATAATAGTATTATAATTAAGGGAATCGTCGGCAAAAATAGCAGATTTAGAATTAAGTGAACAATTGATATCATTAATAACAAAATTAAAGAGCAGGACCGAACACTTACTTGGGTACACCGCTTTTTACAACAGTCCACTCTGAAGCTGGCCCCTTAAACTGTACCTTCTGGAGGTTGACTGAAGATCTTGCTGGATATGCCGAAGCTTTCATTTTTCTGTTAAAACAAGTTACTAATAATGTTTAATAGGCTTATATAATGTTTATAGTATTATGAAATCGATATTTTTAAATCCCTAAATTTTCGGAGCTTCCTCCATCGGGAGGTTTCTACCGGACTGTGTTTTCCTCGAAATCTCTGGCAATAACACTGTTTCCTTCGTCTTTGAATTTCCCTCTGTTTACCCACTCCCTCCTGAGCCATATTTTTCTAGTGAATTAGATTCGCAAGTAACAGTTTCTCGCTCCAGCTTTCACCCCAGTGTGTATATGTACAAAAATACAGCAATTGCGTCCGTCTTTTGGAAGTTCTGCACATAAGTAGCCGAAACTTTGGAGAAACAATTGAGACATGTTGAATGTTGAAAGAGGTTTTTGTACTGAAACTGAAATCCATATTAAGAACACTTACTCATGTAGAACTCTACATTCTTGTATACTGCTGCCAATATATATACTAATACCAATGTTGTTAAAGTTTGTTAACTATGGGACTATGCCTTTAGATTATGTTTTAGGTTTTAGATTCACTTCTTGTCACAGTAAACGGAACCGGAATTAATTTTCAAACTCGGTGCTGTTAACTAGAATTTCAATTTGATATTTTGTCGAAAATCCTTGTCGGTTATTCCAAGTAATATTATGTGCAGTACAAATTAATACATAAAATTAAGAAAATCCGAATACAGTAGCCTATATGACGTAAATATGTCTGTATTCTCAGAAACATCTAGAAGAAATCACTAATCAATATGAAAAATATAAAAAATGGGGGCTTATTTAAAAAATAAACCTAGGTCTTAGTCTAGAGTTTTCTTTTCATGCTCAGAAATCCATTTTAAACCAGTGTAACTATTTTTTATATTTGTGTATTTTGCTTCTCCACATATAAATATTTTTTTTGGAAATGTATTTTATATTGTTTTTCTGTAAAAAGGTATAACAGGGATATTTTTAACGATACTTGATAGATATTTTTCATACACTTACCAATTACTGACTGAGCAATGTCACCAAACTCATTCACAAGATCACCGGTTCCACACCCGACGTCCAGGATTTTGTCGTCTGCCTTGATTTCCATATCTGGCATATAGAGGCTGTATGCAGCATGTTGTATTCCTCTAGTTACAGAGTAAAGTTTAGCTTCTTTAGAGTTCATAATGTATGGAGTGTGCAGACTATACGAACTTTGCGTTATATATAGCAGTTAGTGGTAAATTTATATTCGATAGAGGTAGAGAAAAAGTTAACTTATTCCTCTATGAGTTAATTGATGCGGTACTCTCGTAGATGGCACTGAGTGGTCCGTTGTGCTGAGACTTTGCTTGACGCTTCAGTTACGTCATACCCCGCGTCATACATAAGCCTATTATGATGGGGATTGTCTTTTAATGTATGATTCATCTTCACTTACAGTGTTTTGCTACCCCAAAGAATATTGTAAATGTGTAGTGAATACTAACATAGTAGTATAATACATACTCTAAGTGTCGATACCTTGAGTATGTATTAATATACTGTCTTATCCGAGATTAATCAGTGGACCTTTCGGTAGTAAATGCTGTTAATTGTAAATAATTGTAAGTGAATGCTAAGATAGTATAATACATACTCTAAGTGTCGATACCTTGAGTATGTATTATACTATCTTATCAAAGATTAATCAATGGACCTTTCGGTAGTAAATGCTGTTAATTGTAAATCAACTTCACATGGAAACGCCCTTGTTGAACTACAGTATCTCGAATATGGTGCAGCGTAGGTGTAATTTGCCGACGATTTCCCATCTAAGAACTATTCTCAATTTACGGCCTGTTATTGAACTTTTGGTGAATAATCGAGAACGATCACGGCCAACTTATAGCAATGATAAACCTATGTAATATAGTTAACTCCTCGCGGTGAGTCACACAAATATTGATATATTCCCTCCATGCTTGGACATCGCAATAGAAAGCGGTCCGTCCGACCTTTTGTTTATCCCTTGAAGCTCATTTTCCCAGTAATATTTCGATCATTCTTTATTGATATTAAATAATACAAAACAAAAAGAAAACACACCTGTAAACTAGTGAAATTAGTTCTGTATAATATTTATATGTTTACAAGCTTTTATATGCTTAGATATAACTATTGTATTTTATATTATATGATGGCTCAGGAATACATAACTAAACAATTTATATCATACCTAAATGTTGAAACCCATTGATATTAATCAAGTACAATATTTAAAATGAAGTTTATACTTTTAAAACTATGCTAAATATTAAAGTTCTATCCGGGTAGTATGAAATAATATTTCGTACTAGCGGACACTAATAAACACCAGATTTCTTATTGACTAAATAAAACGCTGCAACAATTCAGACAACTACGTTACCTGTATACGTTGGAAAACGCTTTGCATTTAATTTGAATTGGCTGTCTGATACTTAATTTATTTTTGTAGAAAAATGTCTGTAAGATCAGCATAAATTGAATTGTTATAATTTGTGTCTCATTTGAAGGTGATAGCTTTAACGATACTTGTAAATTAATTTAAGGTCATTAGGTTGGCGTTTTTTTTTTTGTTTTTTTGTTTTTTTGTTTTAACTATTACAACAAACAGTAGAATAGGCCTATCTTTAACCAAAATAGTGTTGGTATGACTAGTGAGTTGTATGAACTGTACGGCAAGGGCGCCGCTACCTTTTCAGCCTTATTATTGGCGCCGCTGGTTTCAATCACACTTGGAGTTTAGTTGCTGACCCAATACTTCTTGGATAAATTGAGGACTCTATATACCGTAAACCCAGTGTACACAATTGGTTCGTGCGCAGTTTAAAGAACTGCATTCTTCAGAAAGAGTATGACAGTCACCCCGCAATGTACAAGTCCCCGTTGCGCAACCTTTTTAGCCAACATCCCACATTAAAATTAAGCACTCAGATGCGATCCATCAGACCCAAAAGCCAAATTGATCAACTGAATTTCATAAGAAAATGATTGAATATGGTATTATTTTGTTGAGTTTGAGTGATTAAGTCAATAAGTCACGTCCGTCGTTTTATATAGGCCTACTCCTCTTTCCCCCCGCTTTTTATTCTCTCCAGCTCCTTAAACATTTCTTCAAATAGATTTCAGCGCTATAAAAATCTTATTTATTGATAATTATATTATTTACGTGCGAGGGATAGCGGAAATCAAAAGAACCGTGCCAACTTGATTCTTTTGTCAACTAATTAGACGTTATCACTTCGTTAATCTCTAATTAATCATATAACCGAACCATGCAAGTTATCAAATCTTCCAATATGCTACAGATCGAAAAATCAATGATTTACAAACGTTTTATAGTAAAGCAATTATTAAAGTTAGTGCCAGAAATATATGGGTTATCAAGTCATTTTTCCACGGTCTGAAGAGATTATGCTACCCAATTTTTCAAAGATCCATACAGTGGTTCGCGACCCATTTGTTGGGTCTTGTGGACAAATGATACTAATGACGATAATAATAATAATAATATTAATAACAGTATATTTAATATTAGTAATAAAATTGATGATAAAAACGATAATAAAATTAGCAATAATGATATTAATAAAAAAATATTTATTATTGTTTGAAAGAGGTTTGCATTGCGAAGTAATAGGCCCAATATATTTAATGCTTATGGTAGGCCCTACACCACATATAATTATGAAAAGAACTGTTGTTTGTTAGGAATGTCTCGACGTTTCGATTGAGTTGCTTCCAATCGTCTTCAGGAGAATTAGAATAATATCTGCAGAGAATCCAAACAGGGAAATACTTATGTTTGTATAGTGAGACTTACTGCTGATTGGTGGAAAACTTTAAAAAAAAATAACTGAGACTATAAAAGACGATGATGTAAACCAGTATTCACAGTCTGTGCATGAGGGTGGGGTGGCTAGACAACCAGTTTCTAGCTTAGTGAAAGGAAAGCCAAAACACTGGCATGGTTTATAGTGTGGCGGGAAATGTGCTTCTTTTGGTTTATAATAACAATATTAATAATAATAATAATAATGATGATGAAGAAGATGTAATGTGGTTGGATTTATATAGCGAATTATACCGAAGTCTCAAAGCGCTCGAGGTGTGGACTAGCTCGCACAGTAACTTTTTTCTCCCCTAAGGGTCTCTTCGTGTCTAACCTACCCGGTTCCAGATTTCTCTCGTCTGTCCACAACAGTTGCTGAATGAACCAGTACACCCCCTACACGTCTCGAAATATGTACTGGTTTCTTTATAGTGCACACTAGCCAAAGTGTACACTGGGCCTACGGTTTATCTTAGAAGACTTGTTCTACCACCAGAACCAGCGCCGATATTATGGCTGTAGGTTACGGCGCACATGCCTTGACCGCTTGGCCATCCAACTCGCCATAATGATATCAGAAGGTATTATAGAGAACAATTATATTTCCAAATACCAGTAAAGTACTGTATGATTTTTTTTTTATCATTCGTGACATTTTTTGTACTTCTCGTAATGGTTTAGATTGACATTAAATTATTATTTTATAATAATGATAACTACGAAAGCCCATTGTGCCAATAAAGTATATGTTCCGTAATCCGTAATAACGAATTACTAATTCGTTATTACGGATTACTAATCCGTAATAACGAATTAGTTAATTCGTTATTACGGATTACTAATTCGTAATTATTAATCCTGAATTACGAATTAACTAATTCGTTATTACGAATTAGTAATCCGTAAGTACGAATTACTAATTCGTTATTAAGGATTATATTCAGCTGAGAATCGCGACCTCGTTGAACACTAGCCTGGGTGCAGTAGGAAATTAGCGGGGAAAAAAAAGTAAAGGAAAATTTATTTTTGGTTTTTCTGAATCAATATATCATATAGTGTCCCCATTCTTAGAGCTTGGGCAATTATTTTTATAGCACTTTGAAATGTTGACATCAAATATCCTATTTTGGATTAATTAAGATGGGGTAGGGGAAATAAATGTATGTTTTTAGTCACTTTTACATATGCTATGTATATCAAATGTAACAAGAACTTGGCTAAATAGTTACTCTTTAATCTCGTTAAAAAATTTAATCGGAATGATGGCGTCATCACAAAAATTCCAAGATGGTGGCTA